TAGTAGTAGTAGTAGTAGTAGTAGTAGTAGTAGCATGGTCCAATACACTCATACGTTGGTCAGCAAGCGGGGGCCGCTGAAACCGTCGCATCGAGTAAGGTTTTGTTTCGGCTATGAACGGGCCCCTGGGGCCCGCCCGTTGTCATGGCCGTGGCAACTTTCGCGAGGGCGAACCGAAGCTGTGGCCGATCGCCCGCTTTCAGCAACACTGCTCGGCAGAAATCGGCGCTTGGCTGGGGGCGCGAGCAGGTGGAGCGCCAACCCTTAGGTTTCACAAGTCTCGGCCCTACCACCCGCCACGCTTGCACTCGTGTTTCCACTGTTTTCCAGCACGTGCCGCCGCGCCTCTGCCACCGAGCCTGTCGCCGCCCCCGCGTGGTCGCAGCGCCGCCACCGTGCCCCACTCCTCCCTCCTAGCTTTTCGTGCTCCTCCCCTCTGCCCCCCGCCCCCCCCCAAAGAGCCGGAGGTCATGGCTACCCCGCCCCTGGGGGGTGCGGGTCCCATCTCTACACCCTTTATTTTGCAACTCGTAGTTCGACCCCCACGGGGCGACCGCCCCTGGCTGGGGACGTGGCAGCGCCCCAGAGACGCCAACGCCTACAGCGCAGCGCAGTGAAGAGGGGAAGGAGGAGGTGGAGGAATAGGGGGAGGGGGCGAGGCGGGAGAGGGAAAGGGGGGAAATCTACTCCCAGACCTCCGACGCCGCGCTTTTTTGTCCGATCAGTGTGGCTCCTGGAGATCACGACCCCTTCCCCAGGACCGCCTTTCCATTGCTGGTCGTGTTTAGCTGTCCCCGGAATTTGGAAACGACCCGGGCGCCAGGACTTGGAGAACAAGCAATCGTGACGCCGGAAGCCTGCGGCCGCCTTTCAGATCGCCAGCTCCTGTCTGGACAGTCGGGCCCGCGACACCGCGCCTGGGGCGGGGGCGCAAGGCATCGTGCTGTGCGGCTTCTCCTTCGGGCCCCCGTGGATGCTGGTACCGGCTCTGGAGCGGGCGGGAGTGCAGAGGGGGACAAGGGAATGTTCGGAGGCAGTGCTTGGGAGGTTATCGCGCTGGTATATCCGTGGTCGAGGCCAAATTTGGCATCGTCCCGCTAAATCCCGCCCGATCTGGATTCATCTGGCTTGATCCCGGGCTGTATCTGAGCCCGTCTGCCTTCATGGTCTCCTCATCGGGCTTAATAACGCCGACGTGATCGTTCTTGCGAAGACCTCCCAGGAGCTGACCCGTCAGGCAGGACGAGGAACGAGCGCTGGGCGGCGAGCGGGTGACCCGACCGTTCTTCAAGAGGTCTGGACTTTCGGGCTCCGCGGGGTTGGCCAGTCATGTCACTGGGGAGGGAGCCAAGTGTGGCGCTCCGCTCACGGGCCTCGCCGTCGAGGATCGAATGAGTTGGCATTTCCTCCCCCGCGGAAGGCCATCGGAAGCTGGCGGACGTAAAGGGAGGCCGCCTCCGCCGACGGAAGCCTTCGGAAGGCGGCGGAAGCAGAACCAGCCCCTCCAAAAGATTATCCGTAAGGGCTACGCCCTCTGCCGCCGGCCCCCTCTCTCGGAGAATGGGCCATGGAAGAGCTAAGTCATGAGGCCTTGGCGCTGTCGTGAAGCAGTATCGAAACTTCATGCGAAGCCGATTCGCAATCAGCAAAACCAACTGATCACAAGAGGGGTTACCACACCTGGCGATTGGTAAGACGTGTATGGTTTACGGGCTTGGTTACCACACCTTGCGATTAAAGGGCCGAGGGAGTTCTCGCAGTTTGGGTTACCACGCCTTGCGATGGATGTGCGTGAAGGGTGGCACCGAATTTCTGAAATGTGCCAAATCCCCTGTGCTTTTGGACCCTGACCCGCGGATCTGCGTAAGGGGTGGCGCCGAATTTCAGAAATGTGGCAAATCCCCTGTGTTTTTGAACCCTGACCCCGCGGATCTGCGTGAGGGGTGGCACCGAATTTGGCAAATCCTTTGTGTTTTTGGACCCTGACCCCGCGGATCTGCATGAGGGGTGGCACCGAATTTCAGAAATGTGGCAAATCCTCTGTGTTTTTGGACCCTGACCCCGCGGATCTGCGTGAGGGGTGGCACCGAATTTCAGAAATGTGGCAAATCCTCTGTGTTTTTGGACCTTGACCCCGCGGATCTGCGTGAGGGGTGTCGATTTCGAGCCCCCCCAGCAATTCAGACAACGCGCACAGGGGGTGCTAAAAAATACCGTTTGGGCCTCCCCCCCCCCTCGCGCGGTCAATCAACTAGTTACAGTAACCAGCAAGAAGTAACACTGGAAACTACAAGCTACAACTGGTACTGGAAACTGCGAACCCGCGCCTCGCAGCCTGGTGGCCCCACAAGGGGGCCGGCGGATTGTTCGGGGGGGCTCAGGGATTCCGAAACCGACCAAATGTTGTTTATCGCTTGCGACCAGCCAGCCTGTTGGCCAGCGCCCGCGGCGACCCACCCGCGGCCGTGCACGAAGGAGGAGGAGGAGGAGGAGGATGAGGAGGAGGAGGAAGAGGCAGAGGAGGAGGAGGAGGAAGAGGAGGAGGAGGAAAAAGAGGAGGAGGAGGAGGAAGAGGAGGAGGAGGAGGAGAAGGAGGAGGTCTCTAGGTCGAGCCCCGCGGCGACCCACCCGCGGCCGTGCACGAAGGAGGAGGAGGACGAGGAGGAGGAGGAGGACGAGGAGGAGGAGGAGGAGGAGGAGGAGGAGGTCTCTAGGTCTGAGGCCTCTCGATCATGAGCGCAACGGTGTTCTCTGATTCCTTTCCGCCTTCATCGGACGTCAGATCCTCCGCTCCTCCGAACTAGGTCATAGCATTCGAAGCAGAAAAGTCATAGCATTCGAAGCAGAACAACTGCATGCACATAAGCTGTCGGAGGTCCCTGCGGATTTCTCGGCCCAGGGCTGCCCCCCTCTGGCGGCGCCTCCAGCGCGGATCCAAGAAAATCCGAGCGGACATCCGAACGTTGTGCTTTTTCGCACCATTCTGAGATGCCTCCCAACAGGAGATGGAGTGGTATGGCGAGAAGCACTTCGGCCGTATTCACGGCGTCATGATGTTTGCGGCGGTGACCGGCTGCACCCTGCTGACCGTCTGCGCATCGTTTTTCAGGACAGCGGCGGAAATATGGGGAGGCGATGAATCTGCCACATCACGCCCCAGGTTGGTGTTCGGTGGGGTGGTCTGCCCCCACCCGGATGCAAGTCCTGGTTGACTAAGTTCAGTCTGGGCGCTGCATAACCGTGGTCGAAAACCAGCCGAGTCCCGCATGATTTTGCCAACCTCCGATGAATTCCTTGCAGTCTGGCTTTATCCCAGGCTTGATCTGGGCTTCTCTGGCCCAATGACCCCTTGAGCGGGCTTGACCGCTCACAGTCGTTCTGACCAAGGCCTCCCAGGGGGGCGGGCAGATCTCCGTTGGCCGCCCCACGTCGTCGCGGCCGGGCGCGGCTCGAATTCGGAAACTGGAGCATATACTTTACCAGTGGCGGGCTGATTTGCAACCCTAGGACTTTGAGAGGGTCGGGGACGACGTCGGGGTGGTGTGCTGTATACTTGTTCTTGTTTTCCCCGCTGTCCGGGGGGAAGCAGCGAAACATGTAGGCACCAGGATCCCTGAACACCAGGAGCCTCTCCTGTGTGAATTTCGGTGCGGGACCGGAAACAGCGTCGGTTTGTAGAGCTCGGCTCCCTACGGAGCATGCGCAGGCGCGGGCTTGGGGCATGACGGGCGTCATGGCCCCCGCTCCCCCCCCCCCCCCCTCCCCCCCCCAGTGCGCTCCGGGCATTGCCGCCATGCGCATTGGGATCCGCGTAGGTGTCCGCGTAGGAATCCGCATAGGTGTCTGGTCCGCAGGCGTCGTCGTCGTCGTCGTCGTCGTCGTCGTCGTCGTCGTCGTCGTCGTCGTCGCCTTCATTCGGGGGCGGCAAAGAGGGGGGGGGATATCATGGCGTTGGCCATGATATTTCCCCAGATTTCATGGCGCCTCTTCTTGTTTCATTACGTCCCTGGCCCCACCGCTGGGCCGCGCACATGCCGCCGGTCATGATTTGCACCCCCTTCTCTTGGACACCCCCCTCTTGGCCGCTCCCGAGCTAGGTTTAGGCCTGGCATGTCCCTCTACAGGAGGTTCGTTCAAGAATCGTAGAAAAAGGGTCTGGTGACGATTTTCCATGCTCTTTTGACCATTTTTGAAATCCGCCTGTCGGAGGACATGCCCGACCGAAGCCTAGATTTCAGGGGAATGTGATTTTTAAGCTAGACGTTTTCCCTTCGTTTCCGGGCCCCGGGACCATCCATAATAAATCTAGGGCGAAAACCACCCCTTGGGAAGCGATCGGGACCTCTGGGGGCCGCGGATTGGCAAAAACATGTCGGCGCATGTCTGGGAACTGAGCCTCTCTGAAACGGTCTCGCGCTCGTGGCCTCCTGCAATCTTTCAGCGCACGGGGGGTGCGTTCTGTGCCCCGGGGTCACCAAAAACCGAGTGAACAAGTCTCGCCTGAGGCTTTCTGTCCCACTGTTTTCGGCGTGCGGGTGGGGGGAAGGCTGTCTCAATGCCCTGGGCACGTACGGGAACAAATGGCGCGGTGCGACAAACTGGCGCGGGGGGCGGGTCGAGAGCTTACGGGTCCCTCGGGTTGAAGCGGTCACCACGTCCGAGGTCTGGGGATGAGATGGGACGCGCGGACACAATGTATCTTCATGCGGCATTCTTGTAGTCTGGCCAGGGTGGACCCTTGAACACCGACGTGGTCCTTTCGTGCTGCTGTCTCCCAATCCTGCTCCTGCTCCTGCTGCTGCTGCTGCCCATCTCGGCGGCCGTTGGTGAACCCTACCCCTGGTCTTATTGACGCTGCGGTATCAGACCCCCCCGCTGCAGTTCACTTCCCTGCAGATATCTTTCAAATTCTGAATCCCAGCCAGGTTTTGAGAATTCTGACTTGCAGGGGCAGGGTTCACATGTTATGCTCTTCATCCACCTTGTCCCTCCTCCTGTTCAATCTTTCTCCCCCCCGTCTCCCTCCCTTCCTCCCTCCCTCCCTCCCTCCCCCTCCTCCCCCTCCTCCGTCCTGCTCCCCTCCTTCCTCCTCCCTACTGTCCTCCATCCTCCTCCCTCCTCCTCATCCTCCTCCTCCCTCATCCTCCCTCCGTCTCGTCCTCTCCTCCTCCTCCCTCCTCCTCCTCCTCCTCCTCCTCCTCCTCCTCCTCCTCCTCCTCCTCCTCCTCCATCCTCCCTCCTCCTCCTCCGTTCTTCTCCTCCTCCTCCTTCCTCCTCCTCCTCCCTCCTTCCTCCCTCCTCCTCTCCTCCTCCTCCTCCTCCTCCTCCTCCTCCTCCTCCTCCTCCTCCCTCCTCCGTCCTCCTTCGTCCTCCGTCCTCTTCCCTCCTTCCCCGTCCTCCGTCCTCTCCTCCGCCGCCCGGCCGGGCGTCGCAGGCTGGCCGCCGTCCTCGCGGCCATGCTGGCCCTGCTGCTCGCGAGCTGCCTCGCCATGACCGCCGCCGCCTGCGCAGGCGCGCGCGCGCGCCCCCGCCGCAGGCCGCCAGCGCGCTGCTCGTTTCGCTTCTCCTTCCCCTCCTTCTGCCTTCCCTCCTCCTGCCTTCCCTCCTCCTCCTCCTCCTCCTCCTCCTCCTCCTCCTCCTCCTCGTCCTCGTGGTCGTCGTCGTCCCAACGTCGTCGAGCATGTCTTGGGCGCTACGGCCCCGAGGCCCACCCTCCTCAGGGCTCGTGTCGATCCGACTGGTCCGATTCGATGCCAATTTCGGCCAGTTCGATCCGAGCCGATTTCGCTGTCCTGCAGATCCGATGCGGCCCGATGCTTGCATGGCGCTGGTGTGCATCCTGGTGCGGCCCGATCCGACACACATTCCGATTCGATCCGAGTTCCCGATTCGATGCCGTCCGATCCTGCCCTCTGCTGGAATATTCGAACCTGACGACGCGTGGGAACATCGGCCTGGGAATGGCAGCGTGTCGTGATATGCAAGGAGGGGGCTGGGCTCAGCCGACAGCTGCTCCACTTCTGGCCTGTACATTGTGACCGTCCGCGGGCCACAATTTAAATGTTGTTCACAACAGGCGCTCTCGCCCGGTGTCAGGCCTCGCCACCATCGCAGGTTGCTGAAGCTCGAAGACTGCCTCAGAAAGACGGGGTCCAGTAGGGCTCTTGTCGTTTTTTTTGTTGCGATATTGCTTGTTTGTGTTCGCAACGTCGGATCTCAGGGAGGTTCGGACGCAGCGATCCCAAGGGGCCCAGGGACAGATGCTGCCGCCAGCTGCCTCCTCCTCCCGTTCTCCTTCCTCGCCCCCATCCCTTCAGGTCGGTAAGCTGGCAGTATCCATCATCCAGGCAGGTTTTCGGCATGCCTCCCATCAGCGCTCGGGCGTGTGGCCACGCAGCGATGCTCTCGACCGCGCCTCGAGCTCGCGCTTCCCAGAGCGCAGCGAGAGGATGCGGCGCGGCCGATGGTCGGTGGACGCTCCCTCCTGGCCCAGCTGTGCAAGGCGGGACCGCCGTCGTCGGGCAGCGTGGGCGTGGGACGAGGCGGGCAGCCACCCCTCGCGCGCCCGCCCCCTGGTGGCGAGGGCGGCGCGTGGCGGCGGCCCGCCCGGTCAGGAGGCCGAGCTCCGGCGCCCCGGGTGCTCCCGCGCCCGCTCTGGCCTCTGCACCGATAGGAGGCGCCCCCCCCCCCGCCCTCCCCGCCCTCTGGCCTCTGCACCGATAGAAGGCGCCCCCCCCCCCCCTCTGCACCGAGGACTCCTGCGCCGCTCTGGCCTCTGCACCGACAGAAGGCGCCCTCCCTCCCCCCGGCCGCGGGGGGCGGCGGCGTGCGGGGCGCGGAGGCGCGCGCGCCGCCGCGAGAGCCCGCAGGGGGGCCGGGCGCCGTCCCCCCCCCCCGCGCGGGCCCTCGAGGCCGGGAGCCCGCGGGCCGCGCGGGGCCGCGAGGCGCCTCCTGCGGTGGCCCGCGGGCGCGCCCCCCGCGGCGCTGCCCGCCTGGCCCCCCCTGGCCACGGCGCGCTCGCGCCGCGGCCGCGTGCCGCGGCGGGCGGTGCCGGCGGCCGCTCTCGGCCTCCGCGGGCCCCGCGGGTCCCGGGGCCCGTCGGGAGAAGCGCGGCGGGAAGGCGCGCCAGCGCCCCGGGGATCTCAGTCAGGAGGGGAAGCACACAGGCACAATGAATCGTCGACCCCCAGGAAAGTATAAGTGAAAATATGGGAAGTGGGGGGGAAGGCAAAGGCCCAGAAAGTCTGCGAGAAGATGGGGGATCCTGTTATTTGTGTCTATTGATTTGTGCGTCCCAGGGCCCCTCCACTCATGGGGGCCCACGCTGCGGAAGAAAGCACGGCGCCAGAGTTCTGGGGGCTGCGGGCCGCGCGGGTCCCGACGGGGTCTCCGGCGACCTCGGGGCGCTGGAGCACGCCCTGCGGCGCTGCCGCTGCCGCTGCTGGCGCTGCCGCCGTGAGGGGCGTCGGGGGTCCTGCTCCGGTGCCGCTGCGCTTCCCCCGTCCCGCAGGGGCCAGGTTCGCCTCGAGATCCCGGCCAGGGCGTGCCCCTGGACAGGTCCGGGGAGCCGCGGTGTCGGTTTGGTGCTCGATCTTGGACCACATTTCAGGCCAGCCACAACTGGGGGAGCTGTGGTCCTTACCCCCCTGGGGAACCCATCGATTTCGACACCCCTCTCGAGAGATCGTCGAGGCGATGGGTTCCCCCAGGGGGGTAAGGACCACAGCTCCCCCAGTTGTGGCTGGTCGGACTTTCCCTCTCGTGAAGCGCGACCAGCCAGCTTTCGCGCCGAAGACCGCCAGAGACCGCCGGCGACTGCCGGGTATCGCCGAAGACCGCCGATGAAGATCGCCGAAGACCGCCATAAGACCGCCCCAAGCCGATGTGTAGCAAGATGTCCATGGTCGAATGCGTATCATCAGTACCTTCTGTCCCCCGCATGGCTCATTTCGACTCCTCCGATTCGATTCGAATTCGATCGATTCCGATTATGATTCTATTCGACTTCGGATTCCCACGTGGATTCCGGTTTCTCAATTGAGGCTTTACCAGCT